AATTACAAGGCTTTATATAGAATTTCTTCCTCCCCAATCCTAACCTTATATTAGCTAACTACCAAATATAAAATAAACACAAAACGGGAAAGCTGCTGAAATTCAAAAAACTACTCAAAAAGGAAAGGTAATGAAAATAAGAGAACTACTCAAAATAAGTAAACTTTGAAAATATGGAAGCTTTCTGGAAAACATAAATTCCACTTGCAGAATTGTGTGAAATTCTGCATGCAATTCTGCCTGCATCAGTGACTTACAATATTAGCTGAGATATGATAGCCTAAATACTAGACTTGTCAATGGATCGGATTCTAATCCGAATCCGATCCGATTAGTCGGATATGGATTAAACAAAAAATCCCCGTTAGCTTAACAAATCGGATATGGATTTTACCGATCCGATCCGAATTAAAATTATATATATAATAATATATATATATTATAAGAGTCTAGCCCCAAACCCATATATATATATATATATATATATATATATATATGAGTCTAGCCCCAAACCCATATATATATATATATATATATATATATGAGTCTAGCCCCAAACCCATCTCCAAGCCCACTTCTTATTCCCAAGCCCATTCCTCCATTAATCTATCTAAACCCTAACTCAGAACAACATTACCTGTTCTCACTTCTCTCCTCTTCATATTGCAATGATTGAAATTGGAAGGTTTTTTTATTTTTTTTCACGGTGTGAGATTTAACACTGAAATTGATATGGAAGTGAAGATCAGTGTGTGCACATGCATAGATTCACATATGCAAATTTTTCTTTTAAATTTTTTATTGATATATATAATTTACATGCCCTCTTTGCCCTAATTTGTGTTCCTTTTTTTTTTTTTTTTTTTCCTTCTAAATATGTGCTTTGCAACACACTGCATAAATATATACGCTCGTGTATAGAGGAGAGTGTCGGGGATTAATGTTCCTAGTATGTTTTATACTATGGTTAACTGCTAAGTTGCTTGTTCAATGAATGATTATTATTTTCTTTTTGAAAATACTTGCAGTCGGGAGTTCACACACTATGCATACACATGCATAGATTCAGATCGGACTATCGGATCGGACATCTGATAATCAAACAAATCAGATACGAATTGACTAAGTAAAAATCCGTCGGATTGTCGGACAAGATCGGATCACTCATTATACTTTTTGGATTCGGATCGGATTGACCATGATCCAGTCCGAATCCGTCGGATTGTCGGACAAGATCGGATCACTCATTATGCTTTTTGGATTCGGATCGGATTGACCATGATCAGGTCCGAATATGATCCGTTGATAGGTCTACTAAATACCAGAGTTGTGAATGAGTACTTATACTCATTCAAGCTTTTACATATTTCTCTTGTATTCCTTCTATCTTGTATTTATTCTCTAATGAAGTTCTTTATTGGATTGTGATTGATTTGATGTCATATGGAGATAATTTATGAATTGCTTAGTAGGATATTCAGATAAACAAATTGTTCATGGTATATTTCCCGCGTATAAAGATCCATAACTGTGGTGGTAATTTTAGGAACAATCGAGTTGTGAGATAATTAAGTTTGCATAACTAATAAAAGATGATGGTATAGAGACTAAAATTATAAAGACAATATGATAAACAATAAGATCTTCAAAGATACGAGTCACAATAATGTGATAAACAAAGTGAAGCAAGGATATGACCATATATACAAGTATATATAAAAAAATTAAAATAATTCGCGTGTATGAACAAATAAAATTAAAAGTAATTCCTTGTGAAAATAAATACATTACAATAAAAAAATAAAAATAAAAATAAAAATAAAAAAAATTGTAGAACCCTATCATGAGCATCAGAAAATGAGTTTGGATTAAATGTGGGGGAGGTCAACGATAGAAGCTATTTATTTATTTAAGACACTAATGGATACATATTGAGAGAAGAAGAAAGTCTCCATAGTCCATATTGGTTTTATTGATTAAGATAAAGTCTGTGATAGGATTCCTTAGAGATGTAATACGTTGGGTTTAGGAAAGAAAGGAGTCACAAAGGGATAATATATTGACACAATAAAAGACAGGTATGATGGATGTGAGACTATAGTTAATACAACTGTAGGGACAACAAGTGAATTGCCTTAGTTATGGATGAGCTAACACAAGCTAATAAGACACATTCAATATGAGATTTCATGGTGTATGTTATTTGCTGATGATATTGGTTTAATTGATGAGACTAGAGAAGAAGTCAGTGCTAAATTTGAGGCTTTGAGGGAAGTTATAGAATTAGAAGGTAGTAGGATAAGTAAAATAAAATAGAATACAAAGAGTACTAGAGTGTAACTTTAGTTGTTGAAATACAAATGACAATGTAGTGGAGATTGATAATCAAAAGGTACAAAAAAGGGAAGATTTTTGTTATTTAGGCTCGATTATCCATAATGAAAGAGAAATTGGAGGTGATGTTAATTATAGAATTCAAGTACAATAGGTCAAATAGAATAGTGCATCTAATATATTGTTAAGATTGGAAGAGAAGTTCTATAGAACAACTATTACACCAGCCGAACTCTATGTGATAGAATGTTAGGCAGCTAGGAAAAAACATATGCATAAAGTGTGACAGAAATGCAAATGTTGGGATGGATCCGCGTCAAGACAAGAATCGATAGAATGAGAAATAAAAACATTCATGGCTACAAGTATGCATATACACGTCAAACATATCAAATCTCCAAACAAAAGGACACATGGATAGTGCTAAATACTCATTTTATTTAATATTATTATTTTGTTTTCTAGAGTAAAATAATGTATTTTTTTAACATACTTCACTCAATTACAAGGGTACGTTTTTTTAGGTGCATGCCCAACCAAAAGTGTCGTACACATATCCCATACCCAAGTCCGAGTACTGTGTGTCCAACATGGATACTTCACCCACTTCTGAAGAGTCCACGTAATATAGAATAAGACCAATTGGAGATAACATGAGACAAAATTGATTAAGATAGTTTGTACATGTGTGCAAATGACCTTTAAGTGCATTAGTAAGAAAGAGTGTCCACATTGAGGGTAAAGCTAGGGAAAGAAAAACACCAAAGTTAATGTGGGTCGAGTTAGTAACGAAATGCATGATAACATGTGGTTTGATTGAGGCTATGGTCATAGAAAGTGAAGAATGGAAGAATCGGATTTATGTAGCCGACCCCAAGTAGTTAGGAAAAGGTCGTCTTTTTTTTTTTTTCTTTCAATAAACGACGTGATTCCATTGAAAAGATTAGACAATCAGTACAATGGATAAAGAGAGGGCATACCCTCCCTATACAAAAAAAAGCCATTATAGCAAATAGAAAAAGACCACTTCCAATAGATTTGGAAGCAAGTAGAAAATAAGAAAATAATAAGCCTCACACTAGGAAAACGTTTTTTTTGTTATTGTTGTTGTTCATATCTTCTGGTTTATAACTTGTGAAATTGAATTCAACATGAAAGCTTGAGGCTTATTCACACTCCATACAATCTTTTTTGTAGATAAAAGTTCACTAAAAAAGGGGGCACAAGTCAACCAAAGCTCGATACAAATTTTTTGTAGATAAAAGTTCACTAAAAAGGGATGTAAGTCAACCCAAGTTCAATATAGCTAAAATCATCTTTAGTAAGACGTAGTCTTAATATTCAAGACCCTTATTCTGTTATTTCTAGTCATTTAAAAAATGATCTTTAGTAAGACGTAGTCTTCAAATTCAAGACCCATATCTTCTAGTTTATAACTTGTGAAATTGAATTCAACATGAAAATTTGGAACCACACTCCATAAAATCTTTTTTGTAGATAAAGTTCACTAAAAAAGGGGGTGCAAGTCAACCCAAGCTCGATAAAAAAAAAAAATTGTAGATAAAAGTTCACTAAAAAAGGGGATGCAAGTCGACCCAAGTTCAATATAGCTAAAATCATCTTTAGTAAGACATAGTCTTAATATTCAAGACCCTTATTCTGTTATTTCTAGTCATTTAAAAAATTGTCTCTGAAATGCTTATAAAAATAATAACAACAAAACAAAAGGCGAAGCCATACTAAAATGATGCATCCCAATATTCAAGGGTGATTTATATGTATTGTGATAACCAAGGAATTCCGGTGTTCTAGGGGTATGATATGGTAAAGCCACTTTGTAAACATATCCATACTTCATAAATATCAAGACACGGGATCAATAAGGTAATTTATTCAATAAGTAGGAATGGCAGAGTTGCTTCTATCATATAACGAAATTTAATTATGTAGCTACAATACACATCCATGCTTTACCTTGAATGAGTTGTGATACATTAGAAGGTACTTTGGGTCATTTAAATATATTTAAACAATTAATTTCAATAATCTGGTGGTCTCTCTCTCTCAAGAAAGGAGAAATTGCAAAAAACAGGAAAAATAATTTGGAAGAGATGCTGGAGTTAAGAGTTTGTTTAGAACATCATACTATAAAATGTAATTACAGAACGGTTTCTTATATCTCAGCAAAATGTAAAGGTATCAATAGTAGCTAGCCCGCCCAACATCCGCAACACCCCCCCCCCCCCCCCCCCCCCCCCCCCCCCCCCACACACACACACACACACACACACAAAACCCCTCTTTCTTTTTTTTATTTTTAACAGAAGCTTGTGATTTCCTCCACAATATCCAGTAGATGAGAAGACTCCATTGGAAAAGGGTACAGATTGTGATTGCTGTTATTTGAAAAGGTACCAATGAAACAACTACATGATTTAGGACACACACATCACAGAAAAAACTTGTTGCGCACAGAAATAACAAGAGGATATTGAAACATCAATTTAAAAGAGATGGTAGGACAAAGGAAGAAGTGTGAGGAGAAATGACAAGAAGATATAGGAACATCAAATTGACTTTCCCTCCCTAACAACATGCAGGACTGTAAGTTACATTGCAATTGAAATGAATCCGTGAATATATTTAGCAAAAGACAACTAAGTAACCTGATTCATATCAATTGTCTGCACTGCATTTCCACGTGTAAATACAACAGCATGATTTTGATTTTCAGGTTTCCCTTCACCAAGTTTGGGATTTCCGGGCAATTTTATGGAGTAAATTTCCTGCAAAATTGAGAAGGAAAGTAAATAAATAATAATAAAAATAAAAAAAATTAGTTTGTCAAAGCTAGGAAAAAAAAAAAAAATGTGCTCGGAAAAGGGTGAAAAAAAATCACTTATAAGATTTTTGGAACCAACCAATAATTTCCACAAGCCAGGTCAAAGCAACTAATCTAAAGATGGGATTGAATTTTTTAGCAGCAATACTGATTCTATAATCATGTTAATGCGGAAAGGTAGTTGCGACAAAGAAAAGCAAACCTAAATCCATTTTCACACTACAAAAGCAGAGTATTGACTAAGAAAACAATGTTAGTGGTCCAGTGAAAACAGATTTCACATAGAAGCAAGAAATCATTATCCAGTGAATGCCTCAACTTCACAGATGCAGTATAAAACCACATTTTAAACAATTCAAATTTACGATCTACAAACAACTAAGTGATCCAATTTGTTGTTGAGACAAATGAAGAGAACGTAAGAACACTTGCAATCAAACAACTGCTTGAAATTTTACAACTACTCCAATCTAAAATGGCAGCAGAATTCCAGATTCTCCTCTCTTTCATTTGCCTACTCAAGGGGTAACAGAACGTAAATAAAACCACATTTAAGCAAGAGATACAACTTCCTCCAGTTCTATATTCCCCTGGTTTTCACATGCAAGAACAACATTTTCGTTTTCATTTCCCTAATATACTTTGCAACTAACTAGAACAGAACTAGAACCAGCAACAAAAGAGAGTGGAATATTAAAGTTAAACAGAGAGACCAGGCTGCCAAAATTACTTTTAACCCGTATATCTGAAAATTTATGGTTCCTACTCCATAGTAACCAAAATAGAATAATAAAAATGGAACAGAATAAAGGAAATAAACAGAATTGTATTTGAACCTTATCTTTCCCGTTGATATCACCCTTCACAAGTTTTGAGTAGAACTCTGTGTGCACTTTACCATCCTTTAAAGTCTCAACCTCATCGATAAAAGCAACTCGAAGAGCTTCATTTCTAAGAAGATAATTGTATAGAGAAAAATCAGAAAGTGAAATTAACTAAAATACATCCATAGAAATGCAATCAAAAAATAAAATAAAAAATAAAAAATAAAAAGAAAAAAGAAAAAAATTCTAATGTCACAAAAGCCTTAAAAATCCGTTACTTTCAAAGTAGCTGCATCAACTTCCCCTTGTGAACCAAATGGCACCTTCTTTTGTAACTCGTAGCTATAATATAGGGGGATCTCATTGATATCATTCAAACATGAATAAAACTTATGATTGCAAGCAAATCAATAGGTCAAATCAGATGTGCAATTATCAGATCGTGGATGTGCAAGCAAGTCAACTCACACACTGTTCAGATGTGCAATTATCAGATCGTGGATGTGCAAGCAAGTCAACTCACACACTGTTGAATATCTCCATGAACCTAGGAACTTTGGCTTGCATTGTATTATTTGGTCTACACCTCTACAAACTGGAACAAGGAATCAAAGATATACAAGTATGTAAGTAACCAATAACTCACCTTTGCATTAGCAATGCAATGTCTGCAGCCTCAGGTTTTTGCTCTTCTTTCTGTTTTCCATATATTTGACACGTGACAACATATGTAAACTTCAGATCTGAATGAGCCCGCGCTTCAGGAGATAACTCAAAACCTCGAGTATCAGGTGCTTCTTTACTGGAAATTGCAGCTTCTACATCTGACTTTGGCTATGTATGATTAGGTAACTGATTATACAACATAAAACAAGTAAAGAAATATCTGAATGGACAAACCTCCAGCAGTTATCGTTTCCAGATAGGTTTGAAGCATTAGAGCTTTTCTATAGTACATCATTCCCCGAACTGCATAAGTTCAAAAAGTTAGTAGGGGACCACATAATGATTACCAAAAGAGGGGCAACAGACAAATTGATGATTGAAGATGGAGATTATTGAAAGACATGAAGGGAACACATATGCCAAACTATATGAGAAAAATGCTGAACCCACCAAAAGTATATAGTTCATCTTTAAAATAAACAAAAGAAGCACCATAAAAGGGACCACAGGCTGCCGTATCCACCAAAGAACACCTCCCCCACCACCCCCCAACCCCCAAATCCAAGAAAAAAAAAACCTAAGTAAAATACATTATAAAGGATTACAATGTGTTATGGGATACTTTATAGGAAAAACTGATATTCTTTAGAGTTGTATTACAATTATCATAACGCAATTCATCTCAGATGGACATCAACACCACAACCAGAAAAAACAATAAAAAATATGTCATATGCAAGCTATTCAAATCACAGCAACTACAAGCACCACAATGACTTGTGCAGGCTATCTTCTATTAATCTAAGACGACACACAACAATATAAAATAAGAGGGAATATTTCTCAGCAAACCAGAGAAGATCTTGTTCATATGCCAGATCCAAATATTATGACAAGATGGACATGCTCATATAACCAATTCAATTATTTTGACGAAAAGCTGAGACGGCAAAAAATGACGAGGAAAAAAAATTAAAGGAAAAAAAGAAAAGAAATGGGCTAACAAAATTAAGGAACAGGGACATATGTAAAATTCGTAAAACAATATTTAGGATTTCAAGATATAACTAGAGCCATGACAATGGAAGCCACATCTAGCTTCATTTTCGCCAGTCATCAAAATCAAATTGTCAATCTTATGATTGAATAAAACAAAATTAAGTTAGTGAAGACATTTCAGTCCAATTCGATCCAATAGAAGGATATCAAAACAGTTTAGTTTCAACAGACTAGTATCTCTAACTTTACAACATTAAGACTTCCAATCAGAAATTATGAAAACAATAAACCGACACAACAAGCAATGCACCCAAAAGAAAAACAAAATCAAAGTAAATCAAGAAAATAAAAGAACAGACCCTTCCAACAATAAACCAGCAAACACACACAACACACAGAGAGAGAGAGAGAGAGAGAGAGAGAGAGCAATTACCAGTTCTGGCCAACGTCTGTCCTCGGTAAGAAGCCCAAAAACGGAGTTCCAGAACATCACTAGGATTATCAAAAAGTTCAGAGTCAGCTGAGCTTTCATCACGACCAATCCGAGCTAGAAAATTTCTCCACTCATCTGCAAAAAGAAAATATTTAACAAAAAAGCAAGCAGATGAGGAATCTAGTCTGTGTTCCAAATAAGTCTGTTTCAGGACCCTACAAATTAAGCCTTGGGGACTATGCAATAAATAAGTAGATACAACAATTGAGGGAACAAAAGGCATCCTAGTGCACAACAGAAGAGTATATAGAAAATACACAAACATTCAATCCATCATTTCTGAAACAAAACAAATTGAAAACAAAGTTTTAATTATTTTTTTGGTAGTCAGGATATATTTTATAAAAGAGGCAAAAGGGCAGGGAGAAAAAATTTCATCACAAAGAAATTGACGGAAATGAAAAACATAATGGTTAAAAAAAGTATCAATTCAGATCTAAAATTATAAATCTTCCTCCAATATATGGTGACTATTAGTCATCCAAATTATTTTTCAAGAAAAAAACCTAAGGACTCAAAAGTGCAAAAGTATAGACAACCATTCAAAACCCCTATTTTTGGGCCTTTTTAGGGTGGTTGATGCCTCCTAATCATCCAAAATATTTCCAAACAAAATATATCACAACTCATGGGTCTAAAGTATATTAAAAAAACTTACTTTTGCGCTTTGTAACGTATTTGTTAAAGGCAGGGGTATTTTTGAGCACCTTCAACAAGCGGATAAGAAAAAGAGAGATGAGAGCAAAGCAGGAAAACAAGCCTAGAACTTTGGGACAAAAAAAAAAAGGAACGAACGAAGGCTCTCAAAATGAATTGGGGAAAAGAAGACTTGTGTCAAACCCCTGTCCACTACTATTTAAGCTGGAAAATTCAAAAGCCCAATAGTATAAAGTTAGCCTCTCCATTTTAACACTAGGAAACAAATGATAGGGCTTGGATATGCGACTTCAATCGATCCCCTACCACCATCATCCATTACATCTCTTTATTCAAATGATTCCGATGTTGTTTTTCTCCTCATTTATGTTTTAAATTTAAAAGAAACTAAATATGCCACCACATCCATCCTTTTAAGAAGAACACATTTTTCGCCATAGATCAAGGGAAAGTAGATGAGAGGAAGAGGTTCATGTAGGAGTCTCCATTTCAAAGCATTTCATCTATCTTTTCCCCGTAGTTTTAGAAGTCAGAGGTTTTTTTCCCTACTATGTTCATTTCTCTGAAAGCATTGAGCGAAATACAAATTGTACAACTTTGGTAATCTCTAGGTTCTGACAGGTTCATAAAATGATTCACACACATGAAAAAGGTAAATATATAGCGCCCACAGCCCATCTCTGATTGAACCAACAATTGTTCTTACTTTGAATTGGAGAGATTTCCAAATCGTGAAAGTTTTGAAGTTCTTTCCAAACACATATAAGGCATTTCTGGAAATCCCTGAATTTAGAAATTCAACATAACAACTAAAAAAAAAAAAAAAAAAGAAAAATCATATAAATTGCAACCTTTGACAGAAGACAGCAGCTAAAATCATAAAATAAGTCTACAAATATTAAATTAAATTAAACTAAGACGAAAAAATCATAATATTTTATGTAGCACAATAAAGTTGCTACAAACAGCTGGGAGTGCCCGATTGCAGTGCCAAAAATGGTAGGACTAGGTGAACAAAGAAAACCCAAAGCAGTTGTTTCCAAAATAAATTTACAGAAGTATGTAAATTCTTAGATGCGATTGAAGCTCAACACATGCAAACACCCGAAAGAGGTAAAATAATAACAATAATAATAACAATTTCCAAAACAAGACTCTAGCAGCTGTAAACGTTCTAATACAAATTAAACTGAAATCAATTAGGAGTCGTGTATGACCAACCCTCCTAGGAATATTGAAAACATCACAGCTAGAAATCGAAAATATCAGATTTTGATGGTTACCAAATATTGTTCTGGTTCAATTAGGATTTTGATTGCTTCAATAAAGTCTCAAATATGGTTTGTTATTGAATTCTTTATTTTCTTGAGGTGAATGGAGATCACTTCTGATCTATGTTACATGAACGCGGGTATGGGTGTCGGACACGGGTATGTATCCATGTGTCGGACGTGTCAAATCTCCAAACAGAAGGACACACGGACACGGCTAAATATTCATTTTATTAAATATTTTATTTTATTTTTTAGAGTAAAGTAATGTTTTTATCCAATATAATGTTCAATATAGGCATTTAACTCTTTTTAAACTAATAATATAATATAATTGGATATGTTTTTTTAAGTATATATCTATCCAAAAGTGTCGGACACATATCCCATACCCATGTCCGAGGGATATGTGTCCGACACGAGTACTTCACTACTTTTGAAGAGTCTATGTAACAGAGCTTCTAATATGGAGTTTAGGATTTTGATGAGAGATATAAGAAGCAATTGTATCCCTGTTATTAAGGAGAATTAGCTAGAACTAACTTTACTACAAATTTTAATTTTGAATTGCAATAAAGTTGCAAAAGGTTAAGAAATAAGGACGGAATGACACCGCCTTTTTTTCTCCCTAAATCCAACTTAAAAGTGATAATCTAAGAAGCACAAACACGGATACTGCGACACGGCAAATCCTAAAAAATTACGACTCGGACACGGCAAATAAGAAATATATTTTCTATATAGATGATGTTGTACTTTAAGAAATTAAGAGTAATATTATTTTTTACAATCTCATAATGAAAAAAAAAAAAAAAAAGTGTTTTGCTGGAAAAAAGAAAGAATGATAGAAAGAGGGTTAAGAGAGAGAGAGAGAGAGAGAGAGAGACAAAGAGAATTAGGGTTTTGTTAGAAAAAGAAAGGTAAGAATCCATAGAAGAGAAAAAAGTTCATGGGGAATAGAGGAAAAAGGAAAAAGAGACAAAAAGAAATTTAATGTGAAAGGAAAAAAAAAAAAAAGTATTTAGGGTTTGTGAAGAACAAGAAGAAGAAAGAAAAAAGGATGATGAAGAATAAGAAAAAGAGGTGAAAGAGGGGGAAGAGATACAAAGACCATTCACTGGTAGCCAAGCCTGGTTGGTGGGGCAACAATAGAGTCAAAAGGATCGTGCAAGGGTTCGAACCTTTAAACTAAAATATAAAAATAAATATCTAATTGTTTGAATATAAAATTGTTTTATGAAACAAGAAGTTTCTAAGTAATTAGTAATTAAACAACTCCTAATATTTACACTTCAACTCAACATTGTTTCTAAAACTTTCTTAAAAATCCCCAAAGAGTAGGTCACGCGTGTCGGACACGTATCCATGGCATGTCGGAAGCGTGCCCACAGCGTGTCCGGATATTCAAAAAAATATAAAATATTTGGACACGTATTTTGGCGTGTCCAACACGTGTCGGGGCGTGTCCAGCGCGTGTCGGTGTCCGACACGAGTCCGAAACGGATTCTTTGCCCTTTTAAGCGTGTTCGTGCTTCCTAGGTGATATTCTTGCCCTTTTTTTCCCACATTGACACTCAAAGAGGATCTCTGATTCTTCTAGGCACGAATGTTTATCATTTCATCGATTTTTCCGGATCCTCCATTTTTTTCAAAATAAAAAAAGGATCGATTTTTCCGGATCCTCCATTTTTTTTCCAAAATAAGAAAATAAAAAAGGAAGGATAATGATCTTCTTTGGTGGATTTCCTCTGTTTCTGACGCTGTTTCTATTTCGACATCCGTGTCTTCAAGGCTTTCCCTCCTTGCTTCTGTTTATGTTATAAAACTCACAGAACCATATTCTGCAAAAAGATAGCTCATGTTCTCCACAAATACGGCCATAAATAATAAGCCTGAATCCAGGACTATACTTATGTTTCTAGCAAGCACTACCAATAGATATTTAAAATGATCAACAGCTGATTAACTAAGCATTTCAGAACAACTCAGCGAGTTAAGCCCCAAACAAAACAAGCATATACACATCACCTATGACCTAACTACTTAGCAAATATTAAAGAGCAAACCTGGATATATCTTTTGGAGGTAAAACAAAACTGATATCCCATCTTCATTTTTCTTCAGAAGTTCATTCATGCTATAAAGCACAGTCTCAGAATAATATGGAGTAAACACACTGCATGTAAACAGTGAAACAAGGGCAACAGACTTATCAAGATAACATAACAAAAACACAAGAAGCAAAAATTTATGTTCATCAAAGAAAAGATGTTACCTGAAGGGCAACATTTCACGAACTGGCTTGGCAACAGGCATATCCATGAAAAGTGAATTTGTGAAGAACTCCAGCCTACGTCTGGCCTCAAGATTCTTGGGAATATTTGCAGCAGAATCTTTAATGGTTAAAATTGAATGTAATCTTTTGACTTGGGATCTCTGTATATTTTGCAAAATTACCATATTTAATATGAAAAAAAAAAAAAAAAGTTTACACAAGGAATTTAGATTAATCAAAACTAACACAATGTGTTGGTCTGTGTGTGATCAAACATACCAACTCAGCATCTTGCGGCCACCTTAACTTTGAAAACAGACGACCCTCAGTCCTTGCTTTAGATAAAATATTCCAGGTCTCATAGTGCTCTCTAGAAATAATGCATATACAGCCAGTTTTACGAAGAGGAATAATGCAAAAAAAAAAAAAAATCTTGCAAATTACAAGTCCAGGAAAATATGTTCAAGTTTAGGAAAATATGTTCAAGTTTTTACAAACCTCATATTGATAGAAAGGACATCATGGCGCACAACATCATAGAGATCCTGAATGGCTTTAATAGCACCACTTTCCAGTTCTGGAGTTTCATTCTCTTTCTGTTCAAATACCGCCAAAAGTGTGAACAAAAGTTGCGTAAATGGTAAAACAGGAAGCATCTCTAGTGTTTCTCTAAACATAAACATACACTAACTAACTTCTGCAAAAATAAGCTAACGCATTAATACAATATTCAAAAGTTATTAAAAAATTACCAAAATTAGAAGGACAAAAAATCAGGAGAGAGTACCATGTTACGGAATTGAAGGGCAGAAAGAAAACGAAGGGGAAAATTAAACGAATCCGAAGGAAAGAAATACAAAATTCACATAATATGCCAGTGTATTACAACCACCCCCCTCACCCCCACAACCAAAAACAAATAAATAAATAAATCATGGTCCACTACAAAGATACTACGAATGCAAAATCAGCAACCTTATGCATTAAAGACCATTTTTAATGCAGATTGGGGGGAGAGGTCTAGGGATCGAATCACCTTAGCATTAATAGTAGCCATTGAATTCAAGAATAACTGATATCCTAAAACCTATAAAGCTCTTATCTCCTATGAACTTCTCTACCTAGTTTTTGTCACTCGATCAAGTTTTTCCATCATAATTTACTTACTTTACACATTATTTTCACAGAGTTTTGAAAAGGTTGATAGCAGGCATATTCAGAAAACACCAAACGATTCAATCTGCCCATTGAACATTCTTTATAACATCTACTGTCCAAAAATTATATTAGTATATTTTATTCAAAGCATGTGATGCTGACCATCTGAAAATCATCTCCACAATATAAGGAGTTACCACAAACCAACTTCATTACATTGTGGATACTTAATACCTTTTTTCTTAAATAAAAGAACTGCACAAAACCCAACACTAAATCCACTAAAATCTCAAACTACCACAAAATCTTCAAAGTTCTCCATAGACTTCTAATGCAACATTTAACCCAAACAGATAGAGAACTCAATATGGAATTGTTTAATACCCAAATAGAAGCTTCCTTTCAATCAAAGGATTTCTTATTCCTTTCACTCTACAACCCCACCACAAGAAAAGGAGAGCTGCCCTACAAGCATCTCGGATTTGATTACCCTTTGTACATTCCCTCCAAGTCTCAGCATGCTCATCGTAAAACCCAGCACAAGCCAATGTAAACCAAAGATATCCCTAGCCACTTGCAAACCAAAAGAAGATGGTTCATCAACAAATCATCCCTTTTGCACATAAAACGCCAATTCACTACTATCTGACAACTCTTCCCAAAATCATCAATCAGTAAAATCCAACCCAAGACTGTAGTTCATTCAAAAAAATCACTTTGGAAGGACTCATGCTCTCCAAATTACCTTCCAAGAGAGTAGATCCCCCAGCATACTGAAGTCTCTAATAAAAGGATCGCACCTTAAACCGCATGCTGGAATCCCAACCAATTCCACTCATCAATCCCCTCTCCATCCACATTCCGTTGATATAGTAAAGCAAAGGAATTTATAACTTCCATCGCACAATCTTGAATATAATGCTTGAACTACTCCCATGTCACCCTCTTGTTATCGAGACAAAAAAAGTTAGCAACCAAAATTAATTATCCACCGCAATCCTGAATAGTCTTCGGAAATTGTATGCAAGTAGTTTGTCCCTCCCACTACCTACCTTGAACCGAACATGCTTTGAAAACTCATTCCAGTCCTTTCAAATGAAGTTCAAAACTGCCACCCCTTAGGGAGAATTCACCATCTAAGAGCTTCATTTATCCGTATCCTCCTCAACTTCACTATAAGAACATCCTCCAAAATTTATTTCACTCCACCAAAACCGCCGAAGCCAATTACCATCAAAGCATTATTGAACAAACCAAAACTCCTAATTCCCAAACCACCAAACTAGATGGGGCTACACAACTTCTCCCAATTCACCAAATGAAATTTAAATTAATCACTAATTCCACCCAAAGAAAATTCCGTTTAGCTTCACAATCATCTTCATTACAAGATATCATGAGTTATTGTGCCTCTTTCAAAAGATATTGCTTCATTAAACCTGCAAGCCTCTTCTCAAATGACTCCATAACTGGATCCCATGTAGACAGCACCCTTCATGTAGCACCCAAAGGCAAACCCAAGTAAGTCAGTAGAAAGGCCCAGACAATACACCCCAAAATATTAGTCAAAGAAACAATCTTGCCTACTACCCCCAGTAGCACTCTCACTCTACCTGATATTGATCCTCATCCCAGAGACTAAATGATAACACAACAGCACACACATCAGGTATCCCAATTGTTTCTCCACCACTTTGCAAGAAAACAATGGTGGTGTTGGCAAGAAGGTGAGTTGGCTCCAAGTGGTGAGATGTACACCCCACCTTGGATACTGTCATTGGCAAAAAAGAAGGTGAGTTACCTCGAACTGAGGCGAAGTACTACCCACCTTGAATACACTAATGTACCCCATTACCTCAACCCTCCACATCATCTGTTAAAAGACTCCATCCCACAAACAATGACATTTGGAGACTATGAGAACACACCATCAACAACCCTTTTCAATCTGAGCCCAGACTTTAGCTATTAACCTGTAAATGCTACCCAACAAACTAATCAGTCTCAAGTCCTTGGCTTCTACAAACCCCAAACTCTGTTGGGATGAGAGCAATGAATGACATGTTCATACTTTTCTCAAATTGACCATGCACATGGAAAAGATTAATAGTGCCCACACCTCCTTCTTGACCATCTTCTAATTCTGATGAAGGAAGGCCATAGTGAAGCCATCCCAATAGGCCTTATCCCATTGCAACTCTTCAAAGTCATTTCCACCACATCTTCGCCAAAAGGTGTTTCTAAAATGCTCTCGAACTCCATTCCATTCAGCAAAGGTATCCAATTATCCATATACAGTTGTAATGACAAAATCCCTCTTCCAGATTTCCAAATACCTCCAGCTCACACCTTCAACATATAGATTTTGTTGCTATAATAAAGCAAGGATTAACCCTCACATTGTAACCATCCCAACACTTGACCCTCTCCTTGAAGCCATCTCCACGAAGCCACAAGTTCTTAAATCTGAAAAGAGTTCTCCCCTTCCTTAACTTAACCCTCCACCATCCAACAACACTAGAGTATGGTATAAAACAAGTTTAGCCAAGGCCACCCGTGCAACATCCAAGAATTTCTCTTCTCAATCCCCTAATACCAAGAATCTATCCAGGCGGGATAAAGTAGGGTCCTGTCTCCCACTAAATCATATAGAAGTAGTACCCTCCAATGGCAAATCAACGAACTGTTGAGCTTCAATTAACTCGAAAAACTCCTCTACAACCAGTCGACCTACCTCAAATCAACTGACTGTTGAGCATCAATGAACTCAAAAACCTTCTCCATAATGAGTTCACCACCCTCTTGAGGATCTCTCATTAGAAAATCCAACAACATTTGTATACCCTCCCACACACCAAGGAATTTTCACATCCTACGAGCATACACCAGCTCCTCCCACAAGGATTCCCTCTCCACACCCTCAACAGGACCACATGCCCCAGAAAACACCAAATAAGATCCATCCTACTCAACTGAAAGAAGACAATATACAATAAATCGCCCCTTACAAGCATCAATCTTTTGATACCCATCCCACAAAACCAAGATACCCCCTGTGTAGCCCACTGCATCAAGGGCCACCCAGTCAACAAAACGTCGAGCCTATAGGCTCCTCACAATACTATATGAGGAAGAAGCCAGCATAGAATTTTGCAGGCAAATTACCTGGGCACCCCACTTTCTCAAGGAAAAATTCAACCCCTCTTGTCTGGGTCATTAAGGCCCCGGACATTACACAACACAATTCAAAGCTCGATATGCACAGTGGCACATCCCTTCCCCTTCCTTCCTCCTCTGCCCTTCTTCCTCTTCGTCCCACTACTACCATCATAATTCACATATAAAATCATTTTGAAGCTCCCACTTGCCCCTCCATGTTGTGCAATTGTTCCTTTTATCCATTCATTTTCTATAGAATGGAACAAATCTCGAGTCTGATCTTCATTCCCACCATATGTTAGCCCCAACTTCTCACTTACTTCCCCTATATTCACCATCACCAAATCCTCGATTCTGTCCTTCACACATTGCTCCATCATGTTTTCTCCAGCCCCTCCATATCCCATGGCTTCCAGCGGCTAAACTAACCCCACCTTAGCGTTATCAACATCTTCATGATTTGCTTTCTCTGACTTCTGATCACACCATCGACCTTTGATTTTCATCCTAAAATAACCCAACAGAAGGTATTGATTCCATCAACACTAATAAGATTCAGTGATACCATAGTATGGAGACTATAGAAGCAACCTAGAGAGAGAGAACTATTACTGATGGATTGGCAGCATGGGGTACAGCCATGTTGTGAAGAGCAATTGTCGTGGATGTAGTGTCTTATTATGGTTTTCCATCTTATCCCTTTAGTTGCTATGAGCAATCAAAACGGCTGGGATGAAGCCATGTATGGCTGATGGGCTAACTGGTTATAAACATTTATAAAGATTTAAAAAACTTATTGGGCCTATAAAACATATGTTAATTTGGGCAAAAATTGTTTCATACGAGCCAAACTTATGAAAATAAGTATTTGAAACATTATTTGTGTTTAAGTAGAAGAGCTTGTTTAAAGGCAAAACAAGACGATTTTAACATTATTCAAGCTCGGCTGCTTTATCAAACGAACATGAAAAATAGCTCAAGGTCGACTTCTTTACTTTATGATTACATAATCCCAATTGGAGCCCAAGCAGTTTGTGAACAACTCAGTTCAATTGCAAGCCTAATTATATTGGGAAAATATGCAACAAGGATTAACTTATCAAAGAGGAATTGTACATAACTTTTAAATATTAATGTTACACACTCTCGAACAGCTTAAGGTCTAGAGTAGATGGTTATTAACATGGTATCAGAGCCAAAGGTCTAGAGTTCAAACCTCACCGCCACCCTAATAATTAAAAATTGAAAACACATGTTGGACCAAAAAAAGGCCACACGTGTTGGACCAAAAAGAGGCCACACGTGAGGGGGCGTGTTGAAGGATTTAAACATTAAAGTTACACAATCTAACAGCTTAAGCTTCTGGAGTAGATGGTTATTAACATTTATATTCATTATGCATCTTCCACTACTATGGAACTGTATTTTCTTCCTTTAACGCTACATTATCTAACTAGGGATGCAAATAAACAGAATAGCTTGAACTACAATGAGCTAGCTCAACAAAACTCATGAAAACAATGTATAAGCAAGCACTAAGAGTAAAAAGTTGCATAGAGGAAGAAATTATCGAATATCTCCTATACTACATGCATACTTAACAAAAGCAAAGTTGTAACTGCATTACATAAAATGGAATTTGTCATGTTCTTCCCGTATCTATCGAATGGACATAATTTTTTGTCTAAAGATCTTCCGAACAGTGGCAATGCCCAATCCGTGCATGGGCAACCTAGGGCAAAAATGGCGAGTCCACTAAACAAAAACAAAGGAACTATGTCATCAGGGTCAAAATAATGAGGAGGTCATTTGACTCATTTTGCAAGGAGCTTATAAAAATTGTGAGCCAAGTCTTAAAACCAATCTCTAGGCTCGTACCATGCCAGATCCAAGTCCGAACTCTGAACATAGCCCAAAAAAAAATTGAGCCAAGCTGACTATTTGACATAATTTTACTATGAGATAACAACCAAAAGTGCGGCACAAATGATGACATGCGGTCTATTTACCAAAATGACGACAACACAACAGAAAATTTTGAAGGAAACTATAACTTGACTAGGGGAGACCATTATGAATATCAACGTAACAATCAATTACTACAAACCAGTATTCCCACAATTGCAGTAATTCTTGTAATCACAAGTGACAGCTTAGTCAGTTGAAAATCCACATGAATGGTCCGCTTCGTTATACTTGAATGGATGTCTTCATATATCCTTTCAACCCTGACATAATAAGATAGGATTTTAACATGTAGTCCTTCAAATGCTTTGTTTTTTATTTTTATTTTTTATTACTGATGATCATATTACAAAATCACAGGTACCTAGAAACCCTACAAAAAAGCATTCTGAATATATTACATTAACTTACCACATCCTTCCTTCATCATCCAATATGGCTGTTAGGATAAGTTTGATGGTGTAAAAACACTCTTCAACTGCATATTTCATGTAATCATCCCTGGTGATCCTATCGAATAGCTCTTCTTGTGACTCCCTAGACTCCCAACAATCCACCGCTATATCTTTTGCCAGAAAGATCTAAGTAAATTACATAAAAAAGGAAGCTTAAGTGAAAAAGACATAATAAGAGAATTAAGATTGAGAACACAAAAAAAACAATGAAAGAACTAAAAATAGATCAAGAAAATGTAGAATATAGCAATTAGGGAAACTGAGTTACCTTGCTGGCTAGAAGGAAAAGGGGCCACTGGACCAGGGGAAGATCCCCAGTATTTTTAGGCATTTGAAGCAACTCCATTTCTCTGGAAGCATGGAATATCTCAACAAGAAAGTAGGGAAGAAAAAGAAGATTGATGCTTGTAAATTAAATAAGAACAAATATAAGGAAAAAAAAAAACACAACAAGGGGACAAAACATGCAAAACTCACGAATTAGTAATATAATCTTCTTCCCGCAGATTCTTTACAATCTCGTTCCAAAAGGGAGCAAATTGAGCAGCATCAGCCTTATTATTCTCCAGGACCTTGATTAGACAGCAATGTTAGTTTCACATTGTTCAACAAATCTAATTAAAAAGGTCCTACAGGAAAATGGAAAGATACAACAGTTGTTGAAACACTTATATGCATATATGTATTTATGCTGGGGTCCTATTGTAATTAGATATAGGATTTGTGGCCATTATGTAAATAGGCCTTTCTTGTATTGTATATAACCCACTTTATGTTTTAGGGTTAAAATATATGAAAAATATGGGCTGAGACTAAGAGCTTTCTCTCTCGCCATCTCTCTCTCTCTCTCTGTATCTCTATTCTCATTATTTTCAAATCTCCATTTCTACATGGTATCAGAGCGGATCGAAATTGTGAGCGTGGGAAATCGCAGTTGTATTGTTTTTGTATAGATCTATAGATCTGTTTAGAGCTCGTGACGGTGGTGGAGTCGTAGCTGCTCGTTGCTTGGTCTCAGATCTGAAACCCAGTTTGGTTGCTCGCGTGGTTGCCGCTTCGGTTGTCAACAAATTCACCGCCTTTTCTTGTCATCGCTGCTCACTGCTTAGTCACCGGCGACTGTCGTCATCGTCACTGCTCGTTGCTTGGTCACTGACGGCTGTCGCGAGGTACAACGCTACTTGTTGATTCCGTCGCCGCCGCCGCTGCTTGTTGATTCCGTCGCTGCCGCTGCGTACTTGCCGGAGAGTTGAGACTTGGTAAAGAAGAACGGTGTTTGGCTACAGGGTTCTCGCTATCCTAATCCAGGTTAATATAAACCGGATTTGTTCTAGCCTGATTCAAGGTCCGGTCCGTTTGACCCGATTCAAGGTCCGGCCCGTTTGACCCGATTCAAGTCCCGGCCCGTTCGACCCGATTTACTAACCGGGTCTGTTCTGCTCCAATCTTCTTCCGTTCCCAGTTCAACTCTGTTCTGGCCTTCTTGGGTGCAACAGCTTCTTTGGTTCCTCGGTACAGATTTGGCATCTTAACTTGGCACATATAAGTGTTTTTTTTCTTCACTTTTCATATTCATATATCCATGCCGGACGATTCAAATGTTGCTTCTGGGTCTACCGGAGTTAAATCTTCTGCAACATATGTTGATCCTGTAGGGCTGCAAATTACATCTATAAAATTAAGTAATTCCAATTACTTACTATGGGCTCAAGCGGTAAAGATTTCTTTAGGTGCCCGACGAAAGCTGAAGTTTATTACAACTGATCCTCCATCAAAAACATCAGCAACATATGAGGAGTGGGAAACTGATAACTATATGGTTATGTCCTGGTTGTGGAACAATATGGAACCTTCCATTACATCCACTTTTATGTTTGTCAACACTGCAAAGGCAATCTGGGATGCAGTTAAAGAAACTTATTCTATGGACACGAACGTTTCTCGCATATATTCATTGTATGAAAAGATATTTCATTCTCGTCAATCTGACTTCTCTGGTCAATGCCTTGGTGAGTATTACAGTAATTTCAAAAGCCTTTTAGATGAGTTAAATCAGTACCAACCCTTGACTACTGATCCTGATGTTCTCAAGCAACAACGTGAGGAATTTTCTGTTTCCGTTTTTCTTGCTGGTTTGCACCCGAACCTTCATAATACTCGGGATCAAATCCTCGCTAGTGATGGAGGACTCCCATCTTTGGGTAACATTTATTCCCGCCTACTTCGGGTTTCAGAACAATCTCATGTAATGCCCACTGAGTGAAAGAAAATTCAGCTATGAAGATTCCTTCTATTTTTCCACAGTCCTCTAGAGGTCGTGATACTCCTAGTGGCAACAAAGGGTATGGTGGAAATTCAGGTGATACTCCTAGTGGCAACAGAGGGTATGGTGGAAATTCAGGTAGTTCTCGTGGCGGTAGTGGCCGTGATAGAAGTCGTAGTCGCCGTGGTCGTGGACTTAGTGACACTCGCATGTGCAGCCACTGCAGGGGTACTAATCATTCTGTTGAGAACTATTGGACTTTTCATGGGAAACCAGCATAGGCAAATCAAGCAGTGTCTTCCTCTGAGCTTGCGGGGTCTCATACCTCTATTGGTCAGACCTCTGTATTACCATCACTTGAATCTACTAGTGACACTGTGACACTATCACTATCACGAGCTGAGTTCAGTGCATTGGTCAACCGGACACATCCCAACTCTACTGATGTAGTTAATTTTGCGCAATTAGGTAATATTGCATGATTATCCGATCTACAGACTTCAGCATCCCCTTGGGTTATTGACTCTGGGGCTTCTACCCATCTCACAGGTGATGCCTCTCTATTTTCTAATTTTCAAAAGTCTAGTTCCTCCTCTTTTGCTACTCTGGCTGATGGTAGAACATGTTCCATTATTGGCCAGGGAACAATTAAATTAACCACATCCATTTCTTTATCCTCTGTGCAATTAGTTCCAAATTTTCCCTTTAATTTATTATCTGTAAGTAAATTGACTCAAGCACTGAACTGTTTTGTCACATTTTATCCTTCGTCTTGTGTCTTTCAGGACCTCAACACGAAACAGACGATTGGTGGGGGAAGTAACAGAAATGGCCTATGCTATTTGGATTGCAAACCTTCCACTATTGCTTTACATTCCCAAATGTTTGTGTACCAGTGGCATTATCGATTAGGTCATCCCTCGTTGCGGTATTTGAAGTCTGCTTTGCCTTTCCTTGAGTCGGTGTCTACTTTAAATTGTGAGTCTTGTCAGTTGCGTAAGCACCATAGAGTGCCTTTCCCTCCTCGTATAGTTAATCGTCGGTCTTCTTTATTTGAATTAGTGCATACGAACATTTGGGGTCCTGCTCGTCACACTAGTCACTCAGGTTTTTCTTATTTTGTTACCTTTGTTGATGATTATTCAAGGATGAGTTGGTTGATTTTAATAAAAGACCGTTCTGAACTGTTTTCCATATTTCAAATATTTTTAAAAGAAATTGAGGTCCAATGGGTGTGTTATACCTTTACAATCTGATAATGCTATGGAATATGTCAAAGGTGCTATTTCTAGCTTTTGCGACTCTCGTGGTTTTTTGCACCAAACTTTTTGTTCTTACACTCCTCAACAAAATGGCATAGCTGAACGGAAAAGTAGGCATTTAATTGAAATAGCTCGAACATTGATGACACATATGCATCTGCGAAAAGCATTTAGGGGCGATGCTGTTTTAACTGCTTGTTATTTAATTAATCATATGCCATCTTCTGTTCTTAATTGGAAATGTCCTTATTCCTTTGTTTTTCCTACTCGAGCATTATTTGCATTGCCTCCTTGTGTTTTTGGGTGTGTGTGTTTTGCTCACGTATTACGCCCTGGCGCTGATAAATTGTCTCCTCGTGCCATTAAGTGTGTCTTTATTGGATACTCTCGGACTCAAAAAGGTTATAAATGTGGGGATCCTAGCACTCGTAAGGCTTTTGTGTGTATGGACGTTACCTTTTTTGAGGATACTCCTTATTTTTCTTCACATAGTTCGTCTTTAGATACCGAGCTACTGCTTCCGTTGCCTCTTGTGTCACATTCATTACCGTGTAACCCACCACAATCACCACATGTGCCACCGCCACTTAAAGTGTATAGTCGTCGATCACGAGTAGAGCCCCCCCCCCCCCCCCCCCCCCCCCCCCCCCCCCCAATTGTCTACTTCCATTGAGGCTCCTCCTGCTACTGATGATCTTCCTATTGCATTACATAAGGGTGTTCGCTCGTGTGTCACTGCACACCCCATATCTAACTTTGTTTCCTATAAAAAGGTATCACCCTCATTTTCTTGTTTTTTATCCACGTTATCTGCTACTGCTGTTCCAAAAACTGTGCATGATGCTCTATCTGATACAGCTTGGCGCAAAGCCATGATAGAGAAAATGGATGCTCTTCATCATAATGGGACATAGGACCTTGTTTCCTTACCTCCCGATCGTTGTAAGTGCGTCTACACTGTCAAATATCTCCATGATAGATCTGTTGAGCGCTTGAAGGCTCGCCTTGTTGCAAAGGGATACACACAAACTTATGGTATTGATTATGATGAGACTTTTTCTCCTGTTGCGAAGATTTCTTCTATCCGAATCCTTATTTCCATTGCCGCCAATTGTAATTGGCCATTGTTTCAATTAGATGTGAAAAATGCTTTCTTACATGGTGACTTACATGAAGAGGTTTACATGGAGCAACGACCTGGATTTGTTGCTCAGGGGGAGTCTCGTTATGCTGTATGTCGTCTTAAAAAGGCCCTGTACGGATTGAAACAATCTCCAAGGGCTTGGTTTGGAAAATTCTCCAAGACGGTACTTTCCTTTGGCCTTAACGGATGCGAGACAGATCATTCGGTATTTCACCAACATACTAAAACTGGCTTTATATTTCTTATGGTATATGTAGATGATATTGTTATAACAGGTGATAATTCTGACGGCATTACAAAGTTAAAATTGTTCTTACAGAATCGGTTTCACACAAAGGATCTAGGCAAACTCAAATATTTCTTGGGAATTGAGGTTGCTAGATCCAAGGAAGGTATAAGTCTATCTCAAAGGAAATATGTGTTGGACTTGTTAAAAGAAACAGGTATGTTAGGTACTCGCCCTGCTGATGCTCCTATGGACCCAAATATAAAATTATTACCTGATGAGGGTGATTTATTTGACGATCATGGCAGATATCGACGTCTAGTTAGGAAATTAATTTATCTCACTATCTTCGACCTGACATTTCATATACAGTTAGTGTTGTAAGTCAGTTCATGAGTGTTCCTAGAGTACCACATTGGAATGTTGTTCTTCGAATTATTTGATATCTCAAACAAGCTCCAGGTTTTGGATTACTATATAAACCTAATGGTCATCTTAATGTGACAGGTTTCACAGATGCTGACTGGGCTGGTTCTCCCTCAGATAGGAAATCTACTACAGGCTATTGTACATTTGTTGGTGGAAATCTTGTTACATGGAAAAGTAAGAAGCAAACAGTTGTAGCACGGTCTAGCGCTGAAGCAGAGTACAGGGCGATGGCCCATACCTCTAGTGAGTTAATGTGGATACAACATTTTCTTGAAGAACTTGGGTTAATAGTCAAGACTCCTATTCCACTCTGTTGTGATAACCAAGCAGCTGTTCACATTGCATCCAATCCGGTGTTTCATGAAAGAACCAAGCACATTGAAGTTGATTGTCACTTCACTCGAGAGAAAATATTAAGTGGAAACATTTCTACTCCATTCGTGAAATCTGAAGATCAATTAGCTGATATGTTTACTAAGGCTCTTGGTCATAATCGGTTAAAAACGATTTGTTCCAAGCTGGGATTATATGATATATATTCTCCAGCTTGAGGGGGAGTGTTGAAACACTTATATGTATATATGTATTTATGCTGGGGTCCTACTGTAATTAGATATAGGATTTGTGGCCATTATGTAAATAGGCCTTTCTTGTATTGTATATAACCCCCTTTATGTTTTAGGGTTAAAATATATGAAAAATATGGGCTAAGACTAAGAGCTTTCTCTCTCGCCATCTCTCTCTCTCTCTGTGTATCTCTATTCTCATTATATTCAAATCTCCATTTCTACAACAATTATACGGGCAAAGAGTGAGAGGCTTCCTATTTGTAATTTGGGCATTTTGAATTCATAGGAACTCACAGAATTATTCAGAGTAACAGCCTTTTATAAGATAAGCTATGGCATACACTATAAAGTCAATATTTTTACTTTGCGTAAAGCTCTTGTCACAAAAAAATCTACAGGGTTCTTCATAAACACAATCATGAAACACACATTTGAGAATGTCTTCTTCTCAGTCTAGTTACTGTTCCCTTCAAACGTTTGGAAGCTTCACCAAAATAAATTAACAAATTTATCTTGGATTGTTGATCCCTTGGTAACCAATCTAGTGAAAATTTCAAGAACCTTTAGAGAACTATGTGGAAATAAGGTTTTTTGTTCACCAGGCCAGTGGGAACAGGTTAGGTTTTTAAAAGCTAATATCGTGGCTCTTTTGAAAGCTGTGAGGCCACTTTGTTGGAGTTATATCATTGTCATTGAGGGTGCCTCAAGTTGTGTGCTGAGACGGATTAAAATACAAAAGCTGAATCCGACCCCACACCAGTATATAAGAGTCCTCTGGGACTAATTTTTTCCAATTCAAGTGGGCAACCATGCATTCCTAGGCTGAGCAACAAACAAGCAAACAGGTTGATTGAGATCTTACGGGAATTCATTATTATCTTATTTATTTGGTTGATCTTTGCTCCTGCTGAATTTTTGTTAAAGGATTACTCAATCTTATCTCTATTCTACACTTCTCCGTTTATATCAGTAAACTTCTCATTTTATGTCAAAAAGAAAAAAGAAAGAATGTGCAAGTCAGTGCATTTTAACCCAGATGGAGAGGCATCAACCTCAAGTGAAAGTTCTAAAACAAATATCTATTCTTCATTAAAAACTACAAGATCTATAAACCTCAATTGATCAGAAGATTACAAAGCACTTTGATGGACCAAACCTGTAGGCTGATCGACCGATCAATGGAAGAGTAATTTTTATTCTTACAAGCTTAATGAAAATAATTTTAAAAAAAGTTTCTTATTTTGTTTAGGACTCCTATATTAACTATAAATATATGCATATAATCAATGAATCTTACTTTGCAAAAAGTATATATGTATACATATAATCAACTTAAGCTATGAAATTGAGATAATAAAATAAAATAATCTACAATTTATATAGATCATAATTCTTCTAGTCTGATTTTGTTAATCAAAGCAAGGAGTGAAACTGAATATTTTCAACCATCATACCACCAGTTTTCCTAAAGATTGGCAGACGGAACAAACAACCAAGTGTCGTCGGACAACAAGATTGTTCAGCAACAGCAATGATCAAAGGAGAGTATCATAGGTAATTTGGGGAACTATATTGTTCTTTTCTCCCTATTTCTCTGTTCCTCTTCACATTGCATCTAACATTGTGCATGGATGACTCATCCATTCGTCCAACTTTCCCTTGTACCAAACGATAGAGACTTGCACCATCCCTCCTCTCTTCCCTCCCTCCCCCTTCCTTCCCTCCTAACAAACATAGCCTTAATGTATATTACACGCCCTTTTATGGCCAAGAGAATTGAGTTTGTAACTAAAAATCTTTAAATTTTGATAATAAATATATTCACATGGGTAGAGAAACTGATAAATGATGAAGTATATGGCAATTTATGAATCTGTTTAATCTTATGTTTTAAGTATAAAATGTTAATGCAATACTGCATTTTGTTCATTAGTTAAATGCATTTGACGCTAATAATTTTTTCCCCTTTTTTGACTGTGTTTGAAAGAACAAGCTTCAAAATAATTAATTTAATGTTGAAAATTTATTTGCTTCAAATATTTGTCCATGGTGTATGTTAAAAAACAAATAAAAATTAAGATTCAGAAAACAAAATTGCGTACTATCTTAAATCTTAAAAAAGACAATCATGCTTTAAATAAGGTGAAATTTCCATGTATTCCTTAATGGATTCATTGAAGATGATGGATCTCTACTTTCAACTACGGTGTAGAAAGTGAATGAAGCCATTTAGATTTAAGACAGAACAGGTCCTAAATGGTTAATAATGGATTTCAAGAAATTATAACTCACCAGACCAGACGAGCGAAGGGAACTCCTGCCAAACGAGCATATATTCAGACGCAGCAGGAAGGGAAAAAATTAATCAACAGATTGACCATACGTAGATGTTAAATTGGCTGGAAAAATAATAATAATTAAATAAATTAAATAAAACCTGCTCGGGAGAGGAACATGAAGCTTATCCATAAAAGCCTCAGGAAACTTCTCGAAGAGTTTGTGAACGGCTCCCAAAGATCTGATCTGAAGATCATAAAAGAAAAGTGAATAATTAGATGCAATGAGAAGAGGAAAACTTTGAAGCCCTTTACGCCTATAAAATACAAAGAAAAATTCACAAACACAGCAAAATTGTGGACAAAAAGGAAACCACATGTAGAACTACACATGAAAGATAATCAGCTTCAAGCAAAGTATATTACTATAAAGAAAAATTGGAGCTCTAGAGACTAATATTACCCATACATTTATAGAATCTAATGAAAATAATTCACCTCTCCAAGACGATCTCTTGCACCGAGCAAAAAACCATAGACGGCTGATATGAGGGTGTAAAACACATAAATATCCAAGAGATATATCTGCACGAGAAAGATAGAAGAAAAAGGGAATCAAGGGCAACCCACAAAGAAAATATGACTAACATTTAATCCAAGAAATCAAATTATATCAGAAACCAATGAACCAAAAAGCCTATTTCAAGTTTCGACCCAACCATGCTGAACCAAACCACAGTGCCAATTTTCCAAACCAATCCAAAAACAACTCCGGTAAAGATAATAGGTCTACTATGCCTTCCCCAGCCTCTTCTCAAAGATTAGTATAATAAAACATAATACCTATATTTATTGCCAATTTTATTTTCTAATTTATTTTGCTCATTCACTGATTCACTAATGAAAGATCCTGAAAAAAGATTAGATTATGCACAATGTTCTCATCCCTGATGTTCCATTCGGTAGGAGGGGGAAAATAGATGGAGGGGAGAGGAGGGATGGAAGAGGCGCCATTTGGGAAAGAAGGGTTGTAAGAGAAGAAAAGAAATTATATGATTAATTTATCATCATACTCTTGTATCTACAAATTAAAAAACTTGAATTAGGGTAATAATGTCTTTCTAATTTTATCCAACAAAGATTCTTCTTCCTCTCTCGTCTTCCACATTTGGAAGGAAGCAACTTAGTTGGCCCGAAGTGATGCCACATTCTTCCTCTCTATGATGTTGCGGCCCAAATTAGGTGTCGGGCGACCCCTTTTTGCTCATGGGCCGTGGACCCTAACTAGTACTCTTTCAAAGCTCAATATATAAGAGCGCTTACGATTTGAAGTGTGATCATCTAAGAAGCACGGACACGGATACGGGACACGGATACGATACGACACGGACACGGTTACACAGCAAATCCAAAAAAATAAGTGTGATCATCTAAGAAGCACGGACACGGATACGGGACACGGATACGATACGACACGGACACGGTTACACAGCAAATCCAAAAAAATTTGGACACAGACACGGCAAATAGTATATATATTATTTTTATATATATATGATGTAGTACTTTAAAAATTACTGAGTGTTACTACTTTTCATCAACCTCATAATGAAAAAAATACACAAATCACAACTCATCTACTGTAATAATATAATGACTGACCATTAAATATCTATTTGTTTTGTCTAAAATTGCATATTAACCTTACAAGTTTAAAATTATTATGTACTGACCACGTAAGTGAGTAAAAGTTGTTAAATAACTTCACATATTTATACTTTAATCCAATTTGCTTTCAAAATTTATCTTTTAGACCCCCGAAAATAAGACGCGCGTCGGACACACACCCCTAGCATGTCGAACGCGTGTTCGCGGAGTGTCTATGCCGTGTCCTAAGATTAAAAAAAAGAAAAAATTCCAGACACGTTTTGTGGCGTGTCCGACACGTGTCGGAGCGTGTCCAATGCGTGTCAGTGTCCAACACGTGTCGGACACGGATTCTTCACCCATTTTGTCGTGTCCGTGCTTCCTAAGTGATCATCAAGTAACATTGAAAATCGTACACAGAGAGAGTGAGGGGCTGAACTACGTATAGAACTTTGTGTTCTTTGCGTGGTGTGTATATTTTTCTGTCGTGTTTCGTAATTGTTGCTTAGTTCGCTGCATTTGTCGTAACAAACTAGTATCAGAACTTCCGGTTCAAAGCAGGGATGGCGTCCAAGTTTCTAGAAATCGATAAGTTTAACAGCAAAAACGATTTCAATCTTAGGATGCAGGCTCTGTTATTGCAACAAGGGTTATCCAAGCGCTGAAGGGAAAGCATACAATGCCAGAAAAGATTAAAGACAAAGATGAGGATATAGAGAAAGCACACAGTACGATTTTGTTGTGCTTGAGTAACATGGTTCTGCAAGAAGTTGCAGGAGAGACTACGGCGGATGGGCTGTGGAAGAAGTTGGATTCCCGGTATATGACGAAATCTCTTGCGAACCTCTTGTATCTAAAGAAGCGGTTGTTCACTCTTCAGATGCACGAAGGTTCGTCTCTGAAAGACCATCTTGGTGAGGTAAACAGTATCATCATGGACTTTAATAATATTGATGTCAAGATAGAGGATGAACATCAGGCTATTCCATAGAAGGAAGCTCTAAATTCCAAAGAGTTACAAAAAAGGGCGTTCAAGGAATACAAAAAGTTTGGCAAAAACGCTAGTTGTTAGAGGGAGAACGAATCAGAAGGAAGGGACTGGCAGCAGAAATCGTTCTAAGTTTAAGCACAGGACAAAGATGTTGAGATGCTAAACCTGTCGCAAAGAAGGGCACTTCATGAAAGACTGTCCGCAGCGTAAGAATGGAAAGGGAAAATCCTCTGAAGTTGATAGTTTGGCTGTTGCAAAGGGTAATGATTCAGATGGTGGTAACGTTCTCACGATTTCAGTCAGTAGCTCTTGCGATGAGTGGATTCTTGATTCGGGTTGTTCGTTTCATGCTTGTCTAAACAGGGACTAGTTTACCTCTTATCAATCTATTAATGTAAGGGAGAGTTCTAATGGGGAATGATACGGCGTGCAAAGTTGTAGGTATCAGTACAGTCCAAATCAAGATGCATGATGGCATTGTGAGGGCATTGATTGATGCCAGGTATGTACCATAACTGAGAAAGAATTTGATTTTCCTATGTACGCTGGACTCTATTAGGTGCACTTACAAGGCTGGAGGTGGAGTCATTCGAGTTTCAAAGGGTCTTCTTGCGGAGATGAAGGAGAAGCATGGTTTATATGCTTTACAAAGTAGCAAAATCACGGGTTCAATTGTTGTATCGTCCTCGAAACCAAATTCTACTACCAAGTTGTGGCATATGTGGGTTGAGCGAGTGTGGTGATCAGAAAATTAGGAAACTGGATTTCTGTGAGTATTGTGTCTTTGGGAAGTAGTGCAAAGTGAAATTCAGTACGAGAATTCACAGGACCAAGGGTACGGTGGATTATATTCATTCTGATCTTTGGGGTCCCTCTCAAGTTACTTCACATGGTGATGGTAGATATATGATGACGTTGACTGATGACTTTTCTCAAAAAGTTTGGGTTTACATTCTAAAGCATAAGAATGAGGCTTTTGTCACGTTCAAGCAGCGGAAGACCTACATTGAGAAGCAGACTAGAAAACAGGTCAAGAACTTGAGGACATAAATAGCTTCAAATTTTGTAGTGGAGAATTTAATGAATTCTGCAAGACTCATGTGATTATGAGGCACCACACAATGAGGAAGACTACACAACATAATAAAATTGCAGAGCAGATGAACAGAACACTATTAGAGAGGGCACGGTGTATGTTGTCCAATGCATGGTTAGACAAAGGGTTCTAGGCTGAAGCTGTTTCTACAGCTAATTACTTGGTGAACCGATCTCCATCGATTGCTATCAACTATAAGATTCCGGAGTAGGTATGGTCTTGTTCTTTCGCTAGTTACAGTAATATGAGAATATTTGGGTGTCCAGCGTATACTCATGTGAATGAGGGGAAGCTTGAATCGAGGGCTAAGAAATGCATATTTCTTGGTTATCAGCCTGGGGTCATGGGATACACAGATTATGGTACCCATAGGCTTCGGGAAAGAAGATACTTGTTAGCAGGGATGTGACCTTTCATTAGTCTGCGATGCTTACACCGCAGAACGAGGTAGTTGATTCAGGGAGAGCTCATGGTATCAGTAAGCAGGTGGAGCATGTAGAGGTTCAGTTAGAGGATAAGACTGATCAGACAACTAATATGCAGGTGCAGTTCCAGGTTGAGGGAGATGCACAGTATAGTATGGCTAGAGACAAGCTTATGTGGGATATTAGGCCACCTGAGAAGTATAGGTTTTAACATTCTGATTCGGTTGCTTATGCACTTAGTGTGGCAGAGGATATTGATTAGCATGTACCATGAACTTATCATGAGGCCATCACTGGTGGAGAGTCAGCACAATGGTCTTTTGCCATGAGTGAGGAGATTTGAGTGTCTTTATAAGAACCAGACTTGGGAGCTAGTTAAAAAGCCTAAGTACCAAAAGATTATGGGTTGTAAATGGGTCTTCAAGAAGAAGGAAGGAACTCCAGGTGTGGAAGATGCGAGGTATAAGGCACGCTTGGTGGCGAAGGACTATACAAATGCTGAAGTGTTTTCTCCTGTGGTGAAACATAGCTCAATCCAAGTGTTACTTTCTATGGTTGCTCTGTATGACTTGGAGTTTGAGTAGCTTGATGTCGAGACTGCTTTCTTGCATGGTGAGTTTGAAGAACAAATTTATATGCAAGGGGTTTGAGATTTTGGGAAAGGAAGATCATGTTTGCCTACTGAAGAAGTCCTTGCATGGGTTGAAACAGTGTCATACACAGGGGTACAAGCAATTTGACACCTTTTTGGTTGGGAATGGCTACTGTAGGAGTGAGTTTGACAATTGTGTGTATCACACGAGGCTCTCAGATAGTTCATATTTGTACTTGTTGCTACATTTTGATAGCTTGCAAGAACATGTCTGAAATCAACATGTTGAAGGCTCAGCTTAGTAGTGAATTTGGGATGAAGGATCTTGATGCTCCAAAGAGGATATTGGGTATGTAAATTCACTGGGAGAGAGGAGCGGGCAAATTGTATTTGTCACAGAGGAAATACATTGAGACAACACCGGAACGCTTCAGTTTGCAAGCGTCAAAGCCTGTGAGTACTCCATTGGTTGCTCAATTTAGACTTTCAACACAATTGTCACCACAAAGCAAAGAGAAGGTGGAGCACATGTCTCGTGTTCCTTATGCTAGTGCAGTTGGTAGCTTCATGTATGCCATGGTGTGCACTAGGCTAGACATTTCATATGTAGTTAATGTAGTGGGCAGATACATGGATAGACCTGGGAAGGCCCATAGTTGTCAAAAGCGCCGAAGGCGCGCACCCGAGGCGCAAGGCGCCTACAGGCGCAAGTCCTGCGCCTTTGTATGCATAAGGCGATGCCCTTTGAACAGGTGTGCGCCTTTACATAAGAGGCGAGAGGCCCCAGGCGTAAAAAAGGCACGCCTCCTTTAATTTGTTAGTATTTTGTTATTA